GATCTGGTCTCAGCCAGAAGTCAGATAAGCAGATGTTCAGAGACTGTTGTTTGTGCCTTGTAGTTCCTGTCTTTTGCATGCTGTGAATGGACTTGTATAGATGTACTTAGTAAACTTAGTTTTCTGTTGTAACGAAAAGCTTGCAGAGTCCTGATTTCTGAAACACAGTGTCTGCTGATCTAGCAATCCTTCCGCTGGCAAAGTTTCAATACTCTAACAGTAAGGAGCACCAGTTAACAACCTGGCTGCCACCCATTGAAACAATTAAAATTTCCGGGCCGTTTTCAAGGGCAGCCCCACGTAGAGTGCATTACAGTAATTCAATCTGGAGGTGACTAAGGCATGGACGACCCTGGCCAGATCCGCCTATGCAGATATTTGCAGAAAAGCAGAGTGAAGCAGACAAAGAGACAGTTTGGAGTGTGCTCTTGCTTCATGAGCTGCTGGAGGAAGATTGTGTGGCTGTGTGGAAGCGCCCTTTATGAGATACTCATAGAAAAACTAGGGCAAAATGTGCTGTAGGATAACCCTCCTGCAAAAACAAAAACATAGTGTAACAACAACAACAGTTCCAGTTCTCTCAACTAGGTTCCCTGCAACTGGGTTCAAGACTTGCAGCATCAAGAAACAATTCAGAAACAATCAGGGTTTGGCTCTGATCCTTGACGAAAATACTCACAAGATGGTGATGACTTGGATGAAGTTGAGAGGGAAGTTGTTGAGCTGTGCGATGAAGACGGCGGCCACGCACTGGAAGAGGGCCGCCCCATCCATGTTGACCGTGGCCCCGATGGGCAGGATGAAGCGGCTGATGTGCTTCGAGACGCCGTTCTTCTCCTCCACACACTTCATCATTAGTGGCAACGTGGCCGAACTGAAAGACAGAGGAGAAAAATGAGGCTTAACTTCGAGAACCAACCAACACATTGTTGGAAGGTGCTGCATTTACTCGAATCTAATGCTCACCTTTTTTGGCTAAATTACCTCGCCAAAATTAGGGTGCGCATTAGATTTGCAACATACAGTAATCTTAGTGCTTAAGAGCCGGAAACAAAAGGGGAAGCTGTTTCTGGAATTGCACCTGGCGAATGTCATAACAAATTTCATTATCATGGCTCAATGCTATGCAATCCTGGGATTTGTAGTTTGGAGAGGCATCTGAACTCTTTGGCAAAGACAACTCAAGGCCTCGTAAAACTACAGAGCCTATGATACCATTGCATTGAACCAAGGCAGTTAAAGTGGATTCATTCTGCAGCATAGGTGCACCCCAAGGTTTTTATTTCCATTGTGTTCCAACACAATTATTTTTAAAGAAGGAATTCTAAGTAGGCGATAACTATAATGGGCATATTAGAAAGACTGCAGCTTTTGCTAATGCCCATTACATTGGTCAGCAAATACTGTATATACTCGAGTATAAACTGTTGCAACTCAGGGTAGTTTTCACCTTGCTCCCAAACACCACCACACCAAAGGTGCAGATTTTGTAGTTTGTTGAGAAAAAAGGCAAAATCAAAACATAATATCACAACTGTAAGAGTTCCATAGGCAGGTCACAGGCTTAAATGTAAAGACACAGTTCCCAAGATCCAAAGACAAAAACATGAAGCATAATCCTTTAAGCAATGGTCAAACAAGAGTCCATGGTAAAATAGTTGAAAACAAGGCCAAAAATCCCAGAATCAGGAAGCCAGAAGCATGCTGCTTAAAGTCAAGGTTAATCCGCAGAAGTTTGCATGGAAAGAGCAAAGTTGAACTGACAACGCCGGTTTGTCAGCCAGAAGGCTAAATACCCTTTGCATTCATGAATGCACTGCGATGACCTTTGGCCGACTTGGCTTCTCGTTTACTAGCTAAGCGAGAACTTCTCCAGACCCTTAATTGCAGGCGATCCTGCCTGCTCATTAATTCATTATCTTCAAGGCTCTCTAACCCCTTATCTTGGTATACCAGCTGCTGGGTTGGATCACTGTGGGAAGGCAAAGACATCTCCACCTGGCCGTGTGGGAATTCGCACCCGTTATTAGTCTCACTGACATTCTTTTCCCCTGAGAACTGGCTTGCTGTTTCCGCTACTGCAGCCTCACCGTCAACCATGAACAGAAATCTGTAAACCATCATCCTCCTCATCAGGGAACTCTGGCTCACAAGACCCACAATGCTCAGCTTCAGACTCAGAGTCAAACTGCTGAGTCACAACATAAGCCTAGTTTTTCAGTCCTTTTAAGTCTCCCCCGGCTTATACTCGAGTCAAGGTTATTTATTATTTATTATTTTACTTTGTTGTTTTGAAATAATTGTTGTTGTTAGGTTCTTGTGGGTTTTTTCGGGCTATAGGGCCATGTTCTAGAGGCATTTCTCCTGATGTTTCGCCTGCATCTATGGCAAGCATCCTCACTACCTCTGAGGATGCTTGCCATAGATGCAGGCGAAACGTCAGGAGAAATGCCTCTAGAACATGGCCATATAGCCCGAAAAAACCCACAAGAACCTAGTGATTCCAGCCATGAAAGCCTTTGACAATACATTGTTGTTGTTGTTGTTTTACTTTATTATTGCTGTTATTACAGTTATATTTTACTCTATTATTATTATTATTATTATTATTATTATTATTATTATTATTATTATTACCATTATTATTATTTTACTCTATTTATTATTATTGGAAGGATACGTAAGCATATTTACATTGAAGAAGGTTAGAATAATGGTTGAATCAGAGTTGGACAGTTATGTTGAATTACAGTTTTATGTAAATATTCAAAAACATTTAACCAACGCCTCAATTAATGTAATTTTATTAGTCTCTATTTTTATTTTGAAATTGACCCGTAAATGCTGCATTTCCCACCTTCAGCTTATATTCGAGTCAATCCATTTCCCCAGTTTTTTGCGGTAAACTTAGGTGCCTCGGCTTATATTCGGGTCGGCTTATAGTATATACAGTACCTTTCTTGGTTTCAGGGTTTTAAAAAAATGAGGTTCCATCTGAACATTAGGAAGAACTTCCTGACCATGAGAGCTGGTTCAGCAGTGGAACTCTCTGCCGCAGAGTGTGGTGGAGGCTCCTTCTTTGAAGGCTTTGAAACAGAGGCTGGGTGGCCATCTGTCAAGGGGGATTTGAATATGGTTTTCCTGCTCCTTGGCAGAAAGGGGTTGGACTGACATTAGGAAGCACTTCCTGACTGTGAGAGCTGGTTCAGCAGTGGAACTCTCTGCCCTGGAGTGTGGTGGAGGCTCCTTCTTTGGAGGCTTTGAAGCAGAGCCTGGGTGGCCATCTGTCAAGGGGGCTTTGAATATGTTTTTCCTGCTCCTTGGCAGAAAGGGGTTGGACTGGATGGCCCTCGAGGTCTCTTCCAACTCTAGGATTCTGATTCTATGAGGTGGGCATTAGATTCGATGGCGCAGTAGACTCAAGGAACTGTATCTTGGGACTTCCTGGCTTTCTGCAACCAAACCACTGCAGTCACTTCATAGATACCTGGAGGAGGTGCCGAAGGCGGTGGCCAAGGCGGTGAAGATGCCCCATAGGAACCGGTAGGGGTTCCTGCGAGTGAAGACGAAGTAGATGGCGGGGAGGAGGAGAAGCCCGTGGATGGCGTGGCCGACCAGGCAGCAGCAGATGTACTTGCCCAGGCTGGCAAACAGCAGGCCCACGTCCTCCATCTCCACAATCTTGCCAGCCACCAGGAACATGATACCCACCGGGGCGTACCTGCAAGGAGAGGGGAAGGAAGAATGAGTGAATGAGATACAGAGAGAGCCAACAAGAGGCGGCAGACAGTCCCCTTTGTCCAGGCTAAGCAGTTACAACAGGCATGGGCAAACTTTGGCCCTCCAGGTGTTTTGGAAGTCAACTTCCACAATTCCTAACAGCCTAAGGAAGGGCCAAAGTTTGTCCATGCCTGAGTTACTCAAAAACCACTGGGGGAATTGACACCAAATTTGGACCCAAGACACGTATCAGGCCAGTGACCATCACTCATAAAAACACTGAAAAACACAGCAGAAGAGACTTAAAAAGCCAAAAAATAAAAATTACATTGCAATGTATGGGACTGGGTCTCCATGCTGTGATCTGGTCATCAACCGTAATAATAAACTTTACTTACTTACATCACTCATAAAACACAGCAGAAGGGACTTAAAAAGCAAAAAAACAAAAAAAAATTACAATGCATGCGCAAAACCACATATATATACACAAACACACACATATATATATACACAAACACACACAAAAAAAAAGAAAGAAAGAAAGAAAGAAAGAAAGAAAGGAAGGAAGGAAGGAAGGAAGGAAGGAAGGAAGGAAGGAAGGAAGGAAAGGAGAGAAGAAGGGAAAGAAGGAGGGAAGGAGAGAAAGAAGGAAAGAAAGAAAGGTAGAGAAGGAGGGAGAGAAAGAGGGAAGGAGAGAAGGAAAGAAAGAAGGATAGAGAAGGAAGGAGGGAAGGAGAGAAGGAAGGAAAGAAAGGGTAGAGAAAAAAGGAGGGAAGGAGATAAAGAAGGAAAGAAAGAAGGGTAAAGAAGGAGGGAAGGAGAGAAGGAAGGAAAGAAAGAAGGTAGAGAAGGAGGGAGAGAAAGAGGGAAAGAAGAGGGAAGAAGGAAGGAAGGAGAGAAAGAAGGAGGGAGGAAGAAAGAGGAAAGAAGGAAGAAGAAAGGAAGTAGAGAAGGAAGGAGAGAAAGAGGGAAAGAAGAAAGGAAAGAAGGAGGGAAGGAGAGAAAGAAAGAAAGAAAGAAAGAAAGAAAGAAAGGTCGAGAAGGAAGGAAGGAAGGAAGGAAGGAAGGAAGGAAGGAAGGAAGGAAGGAAGGAAGAGAAGAAAAAAGGAAAGAGGGAAAGGAAGGAGAGAGGAAAGAAGAAAGGAAAGGGAAGGAGGAAGGAAGGAGAGAAAGAGGAAAGAGAAAGAAAGAAGGAAGGAGCGAAAGAGGAAAGAAGGGCAAAGAAGGAAGGAAGGAGAAAAGAAGGGAAAGAATGAAATAAAAAAGTGAAAGAGGGAAGGAAGGAGAGAAGGAAGGAGGGAAGAGGAAGAAGAAGAAAGAAGGAAGGAAGGAGCAAAAGAAGGAAAGAAGGGAAGAGAAGGAAGGAAGGAGAGAAGGAGGAAGGGAATGAAATAAAAAAGTGAAAGAGGGAAGGAAGGAGAGAAGGAACGAAAGAGAGAGGGAGGGAGGGAAGGAAAGAGGAAAGGAAGGATGGAACCGAAGAGCAAAGGAAGCGAGAAAAGAAACAGGTAGAGAATCATAGAATCAAAGAGTTGGAAGAGACCTCATGGGCCATCCAGTCCAACCCCATTCTGCCAAGAAGCAGGAATATTGCATTCAAATCACCCCTGAGAGATGGCCATCCAGCCTCTGTTTAAAAGCTTCCAAAGAAGGAGCCTCCACCACACTCCGGGGCAGAGAGTTCCACTGCTGAACGGCTCTCACAGTCAGGAAGTTCTTCCTCATGTTCAGATGGAATCTCCTTTCTTGTAGTTTGAAGCCATTGTTCCATTGCATCCTAGTCTCCAGGGAAGCAGAAAACAAGCTTGCTCCCTCCTCCCTGTGGCTTCCTCTCACATATTTATACATGGCTATCATATCTCCTCTCAGCCTTCTCTTCTTCAGGCTAAACATGCCCAGCTCCTTAAGCCGCTCCTCATAGGGCTTGTTCTCCAGACCCTTGATCATTTTAGTCGCCCTCCTCTGGACACATTCCAGCTTGTCAATATCTCTCTTGAATTGTGGTGCCCAGAATTGGACACAATATTCCAGATGTGGTCTAACCAAAGCAGAATAGAGGGGTAGCATTACTTCCTTAGATCTAGACACTAGGCTCCTCTTGATGCAGGCCAAAATCCCATTGGCTTTTTTTGCCGCCACATCACATTGTTGGCTCATGTTTAACTTGTTGTCCACGAGGACTCCAAGATCTTTTTCACACGTACTGCTTCAAGGATGCCCTGTATCTTTGCATTTCATTTTTTCTGCCTAAGTGGAGTATCTTGCATTTGTCCCTGTTGAACTTCATTTTGTTAGTTTTGGCCCATCTCTCTAATCTGTCAAGATCGTTTTGAATCCTGCTCCTGTCCTCTGGAGTATTGGCTCTCCCAATTTGGTGTCGTCTGCAAACTTGATGATCATGCCTTCTAGCCCTTCATCTAAGTCATTAATAAAGATGTTGAACAGGACCGGGCCCAGGACGGAACCCTGCGGCACTCCACTTGTCACTTCTTTCCAAGATGAAGAGGAAGCATTAGTGAGCACTCTCTGTGTTCGTCCACTTAACCAGTTACAGATCCACCTCACCGTAGTTTTGCCTCGCCCACATTGGACTAGTTTCCTTGCCAGAAGGTCATGGGGGACCTTGTCGAAGGCCTTCCTGAAATCCAGGTACGCTACATCCACGGCATTCCCCGCATCTACCCAGCTTGTAGCTCTATCGAAGGAAGAGAAGAAAGAAAGAAGGGCATGAAAAAGAGGGAGGGAAGGAAGGAGAGAAAGAAAGGAGAGAAAGAGGGAGGGAAGGTTGGCCAGAGCAACGCAAATTACACCGAGGTTTCGTGGGTAACACAAGTGGGCTTCAAGGTCCACACGGCTGCAATTGCTGATCCAGGTTTCCAGCAACCTGCTCTCTTCCTGCCTTTTCCTCCAAGAGTCTTATATGATTTCTCAAATGGGACCAGAGGGACTCCTTACCACATGATCCAGGTGACCAAGATCATGGTGGCCTCGTTGAAGGAGTTGAAGAACTTGATCAGGTTCTCTCCTTCGGGCCCGAGTTTCCTCAAAGCGATCCCAAAGACGATGGCGAAGACCACCAGGCCCAAGATGTTCATCCCTTCCACCTCTTTGCCCAACGGGACCTGAACAAACAGGAAGTGAGAGGTGAGTTGTCTACACACACAAGTCTCCCCTTAAGAGGGCTCTGCACAAGCACACACACAAACGAATGAACAACATTACAATATAACGGTATAGTACGATATAATAATATATAATACTGATATTGTACTATGCTAATCTATATAAATAAAAATGTAATGTTAGTTCGTGCTACCATCAGAACTCAAAAACCACTGGGGGAATTGACACCAAATTTGGACACAAGACACCTAACAACCCAATGTACGTTCTTCACTCAAAAAAAAAAAGATTCTGTCATTTGGGAGTTGTAGTTGCTGGGATTTATAGTTCACCTACAATCAAAGAGCATTCTGAACTCCACCAATGATGGAATTGGGCCAAACTTAGCACACAGGGCTCCCATGACCAACAGAAAATACTGGAAGGTTTGTTGGGCATTGGCCTTGAGTTTGGGAGTTGTAGTTCACCTACATCCAGAGAACACTGTGGACTCAAACAGTGATGGATCTGGACCAAACTTGGCACAAATACTCAATATGCCCAAATGTGAACACTGGTGGAGTTTGGGAGAAATAGACTTGACATTTGGGAGTTGTAGTTACTGGGATTTATAGTTCACCTACAATCAAAGAGCATTCTGAACTCCACCAATGATGGAATTGAACCAAACTTGGCACACAGAACTCCCATGACCAACAGAAAATACTGGAAGGGTTTGGTGGGCATTGACCTTGAGTTTGGGAGTTGTAGTTCACCTACATCCAGAGAGCACTGTGGACTCAAACAACGATTGATCTGGACCAAACTGGGCACGAATACTCAATATGCCCAAATGTGAACACTGGTGGAGTTTGGGGAAATAGACATTGACATTTGAGAGTTGTAGTTGCTGGGATTTATAGTTCACCTACAATCAAAGAGCATTCTGAACTCCACCAATGATGGAATTCAACAAAACATGGCATACAGGACTTCCATGACCAACAGAAAACACTGGAAGGGTTTGGTGGGCATTGACCTTGAGTTTGGGAGTTGTAGTTCACCACATCCAGAGAGCACTGTGGACTCAAACAATGATGGATCTGGACCAAACTTGGCACAATAATCCATATGCCCAATATAAACACAGATGGAGTTTGGGGAAAATAGACCTTGACATTTGGGAGTTGTAGTTGCTGGGATTTATAGTTCACCTACAATCAAAGAGCATTCTGAACCCCACCAACAATGGAATTGAACCAAACTTGGCACACAGTTCTCCCATGACCAACAGAAAATACTGGAAGGGTTTGGTGGGCAGTGTCCTTTGGTTTGGGAGTTGTAGTCCACCTACATCCAGAGCTCACTGGTTTGGCCCACAATAGAACTGGGCCAAACCTCCCACACAGAACCCCCATGTGAGCCACAGCAACGCGTGGCAGGGGAGGGCTAGTAATAATATATAATATATAATACTGATATTGTACTATGCTAATAATATAATATATTGTATGTATATATATCTTGTAAGCTGCTCTGAGTCCCCTTCGAGGTGAGAAGGGCGGCATATAAATGTCGTAAATAAATACTGCAAATGCTGAAAGACGGAACCTACCGCAGACCCATGCGTTCACTCACTCCCTTTTACTCTCCTTTTCTGTTTGTAGCACCACCGATTGAGGCATAAGGGCACATGCCCCCGCCTCACCCACAGGTAGTGTCGTTATTGTCTCCTTCCGCGACAACTCCCTGGACCACAGGAACACAAAGGCCCAGCAAGTGCTTTTTAGGAAGGGAAAATGTAAACAGTCTGGTGGAGTCTCCTTCTCTGGATGTTTTGAAACAGAGGCTGGATGGCCATCTGTTGGAAGGGTTTGTATTGTGTCATCCTTCATGGCAGAAAGGCTCTCCTACCTTCCTCAGTATAGAAAAAGCCTCAGATGTGCTTGTGGTCAAGCTAGGCAGCTCGGACAGGCCATCGTGAGTACGGTTACCCTCTTGCCTTTGAAACTGGTGCTGAGCTCAGATAGGGGAAGACCTGCTCTTTCTAAAGATAGCAGCTCAGCGCTGGGGCAGAGAATATCTCAGGATTTCTCTGCCATTGGGAGAGGCTCCATTACTTCATCCCCAAACTAACCTTGAGCTTGGATAGGGGAAGATTTACTCTTTCTAAAAGATAGCAGCTCATGGTTAGGGTAAAAAGATCCCAGGATTTTTCTACCGTTGGGGAAAGTTAACTTGGCAACTGAAGGAAAAGGGAAGGAAAGAACATCTATATGGTTTCACAAGTTGACTGTCTGTGTTTGTAACTTCATCAAGCTGTGCCAAGTCTATCAAGGACTTTGAGAAATAAATGTTCTGTTTGATGTTCAAACCTGGAGTGGCCTCAGTTGCTGAGAATCTTAAGCTCCCGCAGTTCACCCGAAAAGAGAAGCACATCTTAGTTTTAACTTCATAGTGTCTGGGTGTGACGGCACGGTCCAACATCCTCATTTTTGCAATCCAATGCACCCAAAGATCTCTTTCTCCTTACCTTGACCTCTATGGAGGTTTCATTGATGACACCCACTTCCTCCGTTATATTCTTCTTAATTATCAGCGGCCTGTAAGTGGTTGTGTACTGCGGAAAGAGGGACACAAAGAGGAAAACGCAGGCAAAACGTCAGGAGAGAATGCCTCTAGAACATGGCCATATAGCCCGAAAAAACCTGCAACAACCTAGTTTCTGAATCTTGTGTTTTGGATTTATTCTGCCTTTGTATTCCTGGTCTTGATGCTACCCAAAAATTTTGTGGACGATTTCTTACATTTAGACTTTGGTTTTTTACATTATTCTGCTGAACTGTTTATATATATTCATTCTTTAATAAACTACTTTGCTGATTTTACTTGGACTGGAGTGTGGTGTTAAGCACAGAGGCGTTCCCAGCCCTGGAATACAACAATTGTTTTCAGTATGTCCCAGTTTCTCTCTCTACCTCCAACTTTGCCCTTAGTTTGTTTCAATTGCTGCAAACAAGACAATTTGCACTCAATTAACTTCCCAACAGGCTCAAGCAAAAGCAAACCGCAGCACTGTGTTCTTCCTTATTGATGCCTTTCTGCCATCTTGCCCGCTGATGGTGCTTTGGCCAGAGTTTTTCGTCTGCGAAATGTCGGAGGTTATGGAATACAAAGTCAAAGCAAAGATTTGGGTTGATTAAAGGCAGGCGAAATGAGACCTTGTTTGGCTCGCTCCTCCGCTTTCCTCGGAGCCACCTTTGTTCATGGAACAAGGCTATTAAAAATTAAGCCACGTTGGCTTTGTCTAAGCCCTCAAGAAGATTAACACGCCACACAAAAAAACACCAATTAATCACAAAGGTAAGAAAACATTAACTATGTTTAGATCTGGTTTTGTAACCAGAGGATAAATAAGTCTTTTGGACAACAAGGGCAGGAAAGAGGGATTTCAATAAGCAGGAAGAGCTTATTGCTGGAAGAGGTGCATAGGAATAAACAGATGCTAGTGGTCAAGAGGAAAACTCGTTTTGATCTTCAAGGAGGGAGAACATCTGCCTTTCTTGGAATGCTAAAGGTGCCCCGGTTCAGTCCAAAGCCCTTCGCTCCACCCTGCATCTCCAGTTACAGGTTTCTCAGGGTCACACAATGGAAAACACCCAGGAGGCCAGCTGCAAGGACAGGCAACATCTCCAATTTGGGTATATCAGTAGTAAATATATACGCGACATCGACCAGATGTCATTGGGACTGCTGCCCACCTTTCTCTTTCTGACCTTCCATCATTTTCCCTTCCTTTGTCTTCCTTCCTTTTCCCTCCCTTCTCCTTCCCTTTCTTTTTCCCCTTCCTTCTCCATATCTTTCTTTCCCAGTGAATAATATAATAATAATGTAATATTTAATTATATTATATTATTAAATGCAATATAATGCAATATAATACTAATGATAATATGATATTATATATATATATATATATATATATATATATATATATTACATTATATTATTATATTATTATTATTATTATTACTAACAATATTACAATATAATATCATTTTCCCTTTCTCTTCCTTCCTTTTCCCTCCCTTCTCCTACCCTTTCATTTTCTCCTTCCTTCTCCATATCTTTCTTTCCTAGTGACATCACAGAGAAACACATCACTTATTATATTTAATAATATAATAATATAATATAATATTTAATAATATAGTATTAATACTAATATTATATTATTAAATGCAATATAATACTACTAATAATATGATATTATATATATTATTACTAATATATATATTATTACAATATAAGCAGGTGTGCCTGTAGTTTAGTAGCTCTCGGTCTGAAAGAGCCCTCAGTGTGAGAAGGCCTCAGTGGGAGGTAGGCCTCAGTGTTAGTTCACCTCAGTGTGAGATAGGCGTCAGTCTAAGAGAGCCCTCTGTATGAAAAGGACTCAGTGTGAGAAGGCCTCAGTATTAGTTCACCTCAGTGTGAGAGAGGCAGCAGAGACAGCCCTCAGTGTGAGAAGACCTCTGTGGGAGAAAGGCCTCAGTGTTAGTTCGCCTCAGTGTAAGGTAGGCATCAGTCTGAGACATCCCTCTGTGTGAGAAGGACTCAGTGTGAGAAGGACTCAGTGTGAGAAGGCCTCAGTGTGAGGTAGACCTCAGTATTAGTTCACCTCAGTGTTAGAGAGGCATCAGAGAGAGCTCTCAGTGTGAGAAGGCCTCAGTGGGAGAAAGGCCTCAGTATTAGTTCACCTCAGTGTTAGAGAGGCATCAGAGAGAGCTCTCAGTGTGAGAAGGCCTCAATGGGAGAAAGGCCTCAGTGTGAGGTAGGCCTCAGTATTAGTTCACCTCAGTGTGAGAGAGGCATCAGAGAGAGCCCTCAGTGTGAGAAGGCCTCAGTGGGAGAAAGGCCTCAGTGTTAGTTCACCTCAGTGTGAAAGAGGCATCAGAGAGAGCTCTCAGTGTGAGAAGGCCTCAGTTTGAGGTAGACCTCAGTATGAGAAGATTCTGTGAGAGAAGCCCCAGGTTGAAGGTCATTTTGTGTGAAGCTCTACTATGATCCTACTCAGAAACCAGTGACTGCGTTAAAACGTCTGAGTCACAGGATGTCCTTTTCTCATTCATCCTAATTCCCTCATAAAACTGTATATATATATACACACACACTTTATATAGATAGATAGATAGATAGATAGATAGATAGATAGATAGAGATAGATAGAGTTTTCAACTCACCGATCGGAATGCAGCAGAGACCAGGTTGGCAGGGAAGATGTTCCTGTAAAAAGAAGAGAAAGCAAAACAGAAGTTCAGAGAAAGTTTTTACTCTTAATCAAAGCCAGATCTTCCATTCATTATCAATCAAACGCAGTTGCAATAAAGAGAAGAGGCCCTGGAAGCATGTGGCATATTATTTATTTCCATTTTCTTTATTTTTTCCCATGTTGAGAGCAGCAAAGTGGGCCTGGGATTCACTCATGCAAGCAACAGATAAATAGAATCAATAAGAGATCTAACTTGGCGAAAAGTAGTTGCTTTCATGCTGTTTTTTCTCATTTATAAACATTTCTTTCCCCAGTTTATGGGAACTTTGCTTAATCATCTTCATCACAAACAAATGGCTATTTTGGGCATCATGCAAACATCCAAGGGCTTGGCCCTTTGATTCTATTATAATTGCCTACATCCTACGCAATTCTGGATTTTTGCATTTTGGTTAATATTGGGAATCTATGGCTAAGGACTCGGAATAACTCCTCAAGTTGCAAACCCCAGGATTACAGAAAATAGTGCAATGAAACTAGAAATATGCATTGAGTGAATGGACTCAATCTTATTGGATAGCAAATCCTACACATTTCAATATTTTTTCATGCTGATTTCACATTTCTTTCTTCTACATTTGTTTGAGATAGAAGACATTTGGGACATTAGAACGCTATCTAAAACACCAAGAGAAAAATTTACTCAGATGTTACAGAAGAAATTGGGAGACACATTTGAATGAATATAAAATGATCCTGAATATACGATATATACTCAGCTTATACTCGAGTTAAGGTTATTTATTATTTTACTCTGTTATTGTTATCACTATTACATTTACATTATTTTACTGTTATCATTCTTTTATTATACTTATTATTTTACTCTATTATTACATTTATTATTTTACTCTATTTATTATTGTTATTATTACATTTATTATTTTACTCTATTATTATTATTATTATTTGTATTATTTTACTCTATTATTACATTTATTATTTTATTCTATTTATTATTACATTTATTATTTTACTCCATTTATTATTATTTTTATTATTTTACTCTATTATTGTTTTTATTACATTATTTTACTGTTATTATTTTATTATACTTATTATTTTACTCTATTATTACATTTATTATTTTACTCTATTTATTATTATTATTACATTTTTATTTTACTCTATTATTACTGTTATTATTACATTAACATTATTTTACTCTTTTATCAATATTTTATTATACTTATTATTAACTCTATTATTACATTTCTTATTTTATTCTATTTATTATTACATTTATTATTTTACTCTACTTATTATTACATGTATTATTTTACCCTATTATTCTTATTAGTTATTTTTCTCTATTATTGCTGTTATTACATTTACATTATTATTCTCTATTGTTACATTTATTATTTTACTCCATTTATTATTATTATTTGTATTATTTTATTCTATTATTGTTTATTACATTTTTTATTTTACTATCTTATTACTGTTATTATTACATTTACATTATTTTACTCTTTTATCATTATTTTATTATACTTATTATTTTACTCTATTATTACATTTATTATTCTATTCTATTTATTATTATTATATTTATTATTTTACTCTATTTATTATTACATGTATTATTTACTCTATTTATTATTACATGTATTATTTTACCGTTATTAGTTATTTTTCTCTAATTGCTGTTATTATTACATTTATATTATTTTTCTCTATTATTATATTTATTATTTTACTCCATTTATTATTATTTTACTGTATTATTTTATTACATTTACTTATTCTTTCTGAGATAGAAACATATTACTAGGTTCTTGTAGGTTTTTTCGGGCTATAGGGCCATGTTCTAGAGGCATTTCTCCTGACGTTTCGCCTGCATCTATGGCAAGCATCCTCAGAGGTAGTGAGGTCTGTTGGAAATAGGAAAATGGGTTTATAATTATCTGTGGAATGGCTGGGGTAGGGCAAGGAACTCTTCCCTGCTGGAGCTAGGTGTGAATGTTTAGCTGATCACCTTCATTAGCATTTGAAGGCCTGCCTGAGCCTGGGAAATCTGTTGCTGGGAGGTGTTAATCTGTGCCTGGCTTTTTCCTCTCTGTTGTTTGGCTGTTATGAATTTTAGAGTTTTTTAATACTGGTAGCCAGGTTTTGTTCATTTTCATGGTCTCTTCCTTTCTGTTGAAATTGTCCACATGCTTGTGGATTTCAATGGCTTCTCTGTGTAGTCTGACATGGTGGTTGTTGGTGTGGTCCAGCATTTCTGTGTTCTCAAATAAAATGCTGTGTCCAGGTTGGTTCCTCAGGTGCTCTGCTATGGCTGACTTCTCTGGTTGACGTAGTCTGCAGTGCCTTTCATGTTCCTTGATGCGTGTCTGGGCAAGGCTGCGTTTGGTGGTCCCTATGTAGACTTGTCCACAGCTGCATGGTATACGGTAGACTCCTGCAGAGGTGAGAGGATCCCTCTTGTCCTTGTTATTATTACATTTACATTATTTTACTTTTTATCATTATTTTATTATACTTATTATTTTACTCTATTATTACATTTATTATTTTATTTTATTCTATCTATTATTATTACATTTATTATTTTACTCTATTATTATATGTATTATTATTACATTTTTTATTTTACTCTATTATTATATGCATTATTTTACTCTATTATTGTTCTTATTGCATTTTTTATTTTACTCTATTATTACTGTTATTACATTTACATTATTTTTCTCTATTATTATTGCATTTATTATTTTACTCTATTTATTATTATAAGCATTGTTTTACTCTATTATTGTTCTTATTACATTTTTATTTTACTCTATTATTACTATTATTATTACATTTACATTATTTTACTCTATTATTATTATATTTATTATTTTACTCTCTTTATTATTATTGGAAGGATACATAAGCACATTTATTTCAAGTATAGGTATATTTGGATGCAACTAATCAGGGACAGGGTTAGGGATCAGTGGAAAACCAAGGCTTCCATGGCCAAAAAAAGACACTCTAGAAGACACTCGAGCCTCGGCCAAGATTAACTTTCTCCACCGGCCGAACTCCTGGCAAGATTAGGTATCATGGGCTTACCCTTGGCTTGTAGGGCTTTTCACCAGCCCTAATTCCCCCTTTTTCATCCCATTCAGGGGGTGGATCGGGCAGCACAAACAAGATTAGAGCCTCAGCTTTGCAGACGGCAAGTGACCGTCTGCAAAGCTGAGGCTCTGCAGACGGTCACTTGCCGTCTGCAGACGGTCACACCGAGGCAAACTAACACTGAGGCCTTTCTCCCACTGAGGGCTCTTTCAGACTGGAACTTCTCTCACACCAAGGCAAACTAACACTGAGGCCTTTCTCCCACTGAGGGCTCTTTCAGACTGGAACTTCTCTCACACCGAGGCAAACTAACACTGAGGCCTTTTCACACTGAGGGATCTCTCAGACTAGAACTTTTCTCCCACTGAGGCCTTTCTCAAACTGAGGGCTCTCTCAGACTGGAACTTCTCTCACACTGAGGCAGGCATGTAGCCGGGGAGGGGGAGCAAGATGACTTGACAACCCCCCCCCCCCTTTTCTGGTTACCTCGTTGAATTCATAGGATGCTACAGTTGGAAGAGACCCCCAAGGGTCATCCAGTCCTACCTCCATTGTTTTGCAAGAAGACACTGTCAGAAATATTTAAAATTAACTAGGTATTTTTAATTACCAACATGTGAGTCAAACACTGAAAGGGTTAAATGGATGCAATGACTTAGCAAAAGCTGCAGTTCCAATATAAGCAGGTGTGTCTGTAGCTTAGTAGCCCTCAGTGTGAGAGAGCCTTCAGTGCAAGAAGGTCTCAGCGGGGGAGAAGTTCCAGTCTGAGAGAGCCCTCGGTGGGAGAAAGGCCTCAGTATGAATAGGCCTCAGTGTTAGTTCACCTCAGTGTGATAGAGGTGTCAGTCTGAGAGAGCCTTCATTGTGAAAAGGCCCCAGTGGGAGAAAGGCCTCAGTGTTAGGCCTCAGTGTGAGAAAAGTTCCAGTCTGAGAGAGCCCTCAGTGTGAAAAGGCCTCAGTGTTAGTTTGCCTCAGTGTGAAAGAAGTTGCAATCTGAGAGCCACTTTATTGTGAAAAGGCCTGTGAGAGAAAGGCCTCAGTGTTAGCAGGCCTCAGTGTGAGAAAAGTTCAAGTCTGGGAGAGCCCTCAAGGTGAAAAGGCCTCAGTGTTAAGTTTGCCTCAGTGTGAGAGAAGTTCCAGTCTGGGAGAGCCCTCAGTGGGAGAAAGGTCTGTGTTAGTAGACCTCAGTGTTAGTACGCCTCAGTGTGAGAGAAGTTCCAGTCTGAGAGCCTTCATTGTGAAAAGGCCTGTGAGAGAAAGGCCTCAGTGTTAGCAGGCCTCAGTGTGAGAGAAGTTCCAGTCTGAGAGCCTTCATTGTGAAAAGGCCTGTGAGAGAAAGGCCTCAGTGTTAGCAGGCCTCAGTGTGAGAGAAGTTCCAGTATGGGAGAGCGTTCAGTGTGAGAAGGCCTCAGTGGGAGAAAGTCCTCAAAATTAGTAGGCCTGGTGTGAGAAGCTTCGGTGAGAGAAGCCCCAGGTTGAAGCCCATTGTGTGTGAAGCTTCAATGTGTAAAAAAGGTACTATGTGAAGCTCCTGTGTTAACTTCAGTGTGAGAGGAGGCTCTGTGAGAGCGAAGCTGTTTATCTGCATGAGAAAGAAGCCCAGCGTGGAAGCTACTCAAAGAAAGAAGTATAAAGAACTTTATTTGGTTACTCTGCTATACATTTATGAGGAGGGTCTTTTGTAAATAAGCCCACTCGCCCAACAGACACAATCCAAACCCTCCCAACAGATGGCCATTCCACTTTCAGAGGAGGACACGCCACCGGACTCCCAGGCATATTCCACTTCTCACACTGAGGGCTCTCTCAGACAGCTCAAACCACCAAGAAGTTCTTCCTAATGTTCAGGTGGAATCTTTATTTCCCTGCAACTGACATCCAT